CCTACTAGCGCCCAGCGCTGATGACTACAGCTATGGCTATGGCGCCCAGCGCCGATGACTACTGCTAGCGCTACCACTACTGCCTAGCGCTGAAGACTACTGCAGCGCTCCTCCTGAGTGCTGCGGCCGAAATCTGAAGACTACCGTCCTACTCCCCAACTGCGTACCCATTCAGTGCCTGAAGCTCCTATGTACTATCACGGGAGCCTCCTGACTCGGGCGAGCAGTTCAGGAGGCTGCTTTTGCCAATAATGCCGAAGGGAGGCAGGGGCTGCAGCTGCAGCTCCTGCTCGTGCTCGTGCTCTTGCCAATAATGCCGAAGGGAGGCAGGGGCTGCAGCTGCAGCTCCTGCTCGTGCTAATGCCAATAATGCCGCAGGGAGGCAGGGGCTGCAGCTGCAGCTCCTGCTCGAGCTGGCGTGGGAACAGGCCAGAAATAGCCTGTTCCGAAACCCAGTTTTCGTGCCTGAATCTTAGGGCAAGTCGAAACAAATGAGGGCCTAAGAATAGTCCAGAGCCTAAGAATAGCCCTCCGTTTCAGGCTGGAAAAACTCTGGGTCTGAAAGACCCAGAAATAGGCTGAAACGGAGTAGGGCCTGCAGGCCCTCGTTTTTCAGTTTTCAGGCTGAAACGACCGGGGCCTGTAGCTCCTAAGTTTTAGGCTTTAAGGCTGAATGTCCGGGACGGGTCCTACAGGGCCCGTGTGGCTACGCAGGCTGCCACACCTACCTGCCGAATTGGCATCGGTATCCTTTCGCTCTCAAGACCGTAGCTGTGCACTGCAGCAGCCAATGAGATGCATCATCGTTACTGATAAGACCGTAGCCCATAGCCACTGCAAGAACTGAAGACTGCAGAAAAGGACGAGCACACGCACAAACTAACACTAGCAGTTGTAGGAGGATCCAGACCGTTCTAGGGTGCAGGTCCCTGCCTACACATGTTGCAAGAAAAACGCTAGCAACTGAAAGCCACGCCACTTGCAACCGTGACTTGCGACTGCTACTTCAACCGTGAGTGAGGGTGCACTCTTTAGTACTAGCAGTTGTAGGAGGATCGAGACGATTCTAGGGTGCAGGTCCCTGCCTACACATATTGCAAGAAAAGCACTAGCAACTGAAAGCCACCCTACTTGCAACCGTTACTTCGACCATGAGTGCGGGCACACACTTTCTCGAACAGTAGTGTTGTGCAACTTCCCCCCAGGTGGTGGACCACCACGAGAAATAGATCGCTACAGCTCATCAACGCAATGGTGTCAGCGGTAGAACACCACAAAGGACAAGAAAACAATAAGGGAAGAGGGAAAAAAGAAAGGAACGACTTCAGCAGCACTCTCCTCAGCAGCTTGACTAACCACAGAGTCTAACGTAACAGTCACTATTGAGCTTCGAAAAAACTCACTCTGACTAAAGGAATGAGAATGAACCTCAAACAGCAAAACAGTTTGGAGCTTTACATTTCGCGGACTTGGCAGCTTTGCTCGAAGGCGCTAACCCGCCGGCAGCTCTGCTCAAAGGCGCTACCCCGCACTTGGACCATACAGTCATCGTCTGCCCGTGCAGACGGCATCAGGTGAGTAGCTCACCCTTGCTTATATACAAACCCTCAATCCGACAGTCATGTTTCTCCTTTCACCAAGTTTAACCATTCGAAGAATAACACACATAGCAGGCCATTCCCTTGCCCATCACATCTATGCCCATATTTTCCCTTTCTTTCACTCGGTTTGAACCAAGGTGAAACAGGGTGCATAGCAAGGTATTCCCAGAGTTCAGTGCAATCTTCCACGAGATATCTTGCGGCGCACAATATCTCACTCTGCAGATATTGCCAGCACACACTAAGTATACCACTCGTCAGCGGATTTTCGTGCTTGAAATTCAAAAGCTGAAAGACCACGCAGAAGACCACACCCTAATCTACTATGCAGTCCAAAGTACTGGATGAAGAACCTCTCAAAAAAGTACAGATCAGACTTTGTGATGACGTTCAGGTATAAGCAAGACTTGAATCTCGCATCATTGTCCCGAAGACGGGGCTTCATGTCCGAAGGACGGAGCTTCAACCACCTCTTCGGTGACCTTAGAAAGACCGATTGGGAATTAACCCTGCCCCCTTGCCAACAGCCTCAGAGCACGTCTCTTCACAATGGCATCAACGAAGCAATTCTCTCATCACTCTCTCTTCGCCTTCCTCGTGTCTCACACTCGCTATCACAACCACTCCCAGAAGAAGATGCATTCAATACACTTGGTAGAGCCTTTCAGAATCCGTGCGGAGCTATGTCCCTAGTCAGCTGGCTGAAGCTCTTATACAAGTTCCTTTGCTAGGGAACTTCAGCTTTTCCCTCCATGAAAAGCACCCACACACGACACGCACGTCCACGAAGCATGTCTCTATACAAACACAATGCAATCAGATTTAAGATGGAAAACACAGAACAAATGAACAAGACTCACAACTTCAGCTTTGATGCATGGAAAGTGTATGCAACATGCCCACACAAGAAGTGCAACTCAATACAGAGACGACCTAACCAGACTCGGCAGAGAAGATGACGAAGCACACAGAAGCCTTAGGTCACTCAGAGCTCCATGCCTAAAACTTGCATCGGCACCCATTCCAGCGCTCTCCTCTCGACTACAACACCGTACAGCAAAATGGTGAGCTCAAGTTGCAACCCAAAATCACAGCCCCAGATCTGTTGCTGAGAAGCACCTCCTCCTTAAAAAAACACCCAAGCGTCTCTCGAGTCGTGTTGAATGAATAGCGGCTTCCACAGACCCTCACAAAAGCAGTGCCACCTCTCCTCCACCCTACTACCTCCTCCTCTCAACAGTAGAACATAAAGTGGAGTTCCAATTCGTCCCAAGAATCACAACCTGGCCGCCCGTTATCCATCCCATAGTCTCACTAGTACAGCACTGCACAATATGAGCTTTAACAGAGCCTCACGGAAACAGTGCCGCCACTCCTCGACCTATACACCTGGCCTCCGCCGCTGAGCAACAAACCATACTAAAACTACTAAATCACTTGGTTGCTGAATCGTCCCAAGATTCCCAACGTGGCATTTACGACTCAGGAAAGGAAATACCTTCCGGCGATCGAGGAACATCATAATGGCACAAACGATGCAGCTACCAGAATGAAAAGCTGTGAGTACCTCCTCCCCGTAATCAATCACAACGCCGACGAGTGCATACTTGCACTGGGACATTTTTTGGCAAGTTTCTGGACCTAATTGCGGTCAAAAGTCCAGGAAAGGCCGCCACGGCGATCAGATAACCAATCTTTAGGACTGCCGCTGGCCCTCTCAAGCTTCAAATATCAGTACCTGGACGTCACTGGATCGCGAAGCCTACCAGTGGGTCAGTTGTATTTGCAGACAAGCTGCAGTAGGATCGAGGAGTTGACCTTTTCATCCTTTCTGTTGACAATTTTTTTGGATTGCCCCTTCCAAGTTTGCCAGTTTTCGAACGACTCCCTCTGCAAGTCTCAGATCAGCCCACAGACAAAGCGAACGAGGACCCAAGGCTCATAGTACACTATCATCCCTCCCCATGTCTCAGATCAGTCCACAGACGAAGCGAACGAGGACCCGCGAAGGCTCATACCCTACCATCCAAATCATTACACATTATCACAACTGCATCAAAATAGCGCAGAAAGGCACAAACCTCATAAGAACACAGCCAAACAGCGGGAAAACTCCGGGCCGGACTCGTAAAGGCCATTGCAAGCAATGGTCTACGGTTTTACACCTTTATGATGTCCGTAATACTAATTTACATGTACATCGTCTGTTATACACCGCGGTGACAGCACCCAGGTTGCACAACCAAAACAGAGTCCTACTAGATAGTACTTAGTGATCACACGATTTTACTAAGTCCCAATTATTATGAGTTAGTGTTTTAGATAACGTATGTCCCTACATCTATTTAGATTCTCAGAAAATTCATTGCAAGGACAATTAATGAATTATATCAAATCCATTCGTAGAGGCATAATGAAGACCAGATGGAACGCAACTCACAAGGCTGAGCATTGACTGCACATAATGACGTAAGGCTTTTGCAAGCACAGAAGCAATGCAGAAGCTGCCTATTCTGGTGTTATTAGAAAACAAAAAAGTAGAACAAAAGAAACACAAACTTGAGACTTTTTTATTTTACCAACATAAATATATTACTTACAAGAAGGTGCCGGCTTGTCAAGCGCTAAGTTCAATTTGATAACCATCAGTTGTACATTTTTTCGCTACCAATTGCAAATAATGTTCGTACGATTTTTGCGCTCAGTTCAAAATTATTTCAGTTATAATAATTGTCATCAGTGATGATCAGTCATCATTAGTCAGTGACATTCATCATTGGTCAGTGACTCAGTGCTTAAGTACCCCAGCAAAGAAGTCTAAGCTGCTGCAAATCTATCGAGTCCTTCCCTCAAGGCTTCAAGAGTGATCCCTTCATCGACAAGGATTGATGCTACTCCTAGCTTCGACATCTGCAGGAAGGCCACCACCCAGCACACAGCCAACCAACACCAAACTTAGCAGCATTGAAAAGTCCAAAAGCACAAAATGAGCAATGCATGCTTCCACTGACGTGTGCCGTGTGGGGTTCTCTCTCTCTCTCTCTCTCTCTCTCTCTCTCTCTCTCTCTCTCTCTCTCTCTCTCTTACAATAGAGTTTACCTCCCAAGACCATGAGGACGATCTTCTTATGCCATATATTGGGACTTTTGTTGATGTATCTGAATGCAATGACAACCACATTCTTGAACAATTTCCTACAGCCTTGGGCAGGAGATCCTTATCATTGAAAGCAAATCATCAAATGCACGAACCATAACGTCATCATTCTGTAATGCCCACCAAGTGCCAAAAAATCTGAAGAGCGGCAGGCAAAGTTTTTGCTGGATGCATGTACTGTACACACAAAGGAGTCCGGATGACATTCAAAGCAGTCACCTGTACATGGGAAGAGAAGTGCATTACGCCATGATCCCGCAAAGTAGAATAACGGTAGAGTTGCACTACAACTGCAAGAACCAATGGTTCTGCAGCGACCAGCGAGTTGAACCATAAACGTAAATTCTGCAGACCTCTGTGTGTTTTCGACTTTGTCCTTGTTATTAGGACATGCCGGTAACCATTTTGCTACAAGTACTTGGCCGTCACCACGTAGGACGAAACATAATGCAGAGTAGTAGACGTTTAACCATAAACGTTTAAGGTACTTCTGCACTGACCAGCGAGTTGAACCATAAACGAGTTGAACCATAAACGTTTAAGGTACTTCTATATCGTGCCCAGACAGTGGATACATGTAAATGGTACCGGCCCACAGAAAGTTGCATCCAGGCCCAGTTCCCGAAACAGGCCGGGCCCAAATCCCACCTGCCTGGCTGGGCGCCCACCATACAAGTGCAGACAATCGAATTTCACCTCTGTCGCGGACGCCAGGCTTCTTGAACACTCCCCTGGTTACGGAGAGAGAGACTCATGCATGCACTTGCACAGGCAGCGGAGAGAGAGACTCATGCATGCACTTGCGCAGGCAGCGGTTGTCCGTCCAGGGCTGAGGTAGTCGGAGTAGCGCAAGGCCATCCAGGGCACAGGAATTGAACCACCAGTACCCCGGCCACAGATCAGCCACGGGAAAAAATAGAAGAGAATCGTTTAGAGTTGGATGAATTTGGGCGCCACAGTCCAGGCCCACTCGTCCGAGCGCGTTGCGGCTCGCTTACGGCTGCAACTTTCGGGGGTGCTGGCGGTTTAAGTACGAGGCGGCCGGTGCGGAAGAAGCGAGGAGAGAGAGGCCGTGACGTTATTTCTTTGAGGCAGTTCCCAGTTGTTGATCTTTGGGCATCGCAGTGAAACATGTACACTTTCAGATTACGAGAATAATTGTGTGGGAACCATGGTAGGGCGATGAAGGGAGCAGTTGGCTAAGCTCTCTATTTCTATCCTTCTTGGCAACCGAACAATGGACTAGTCGAGTTCAACTTGATTGGCTGCTGTGAGTAGTCTGAGTTGTTCGGCAGGTATCGGTGTGTGACATGCTGGACAGCTGCAAGGTTTGGAGAACAAATTGTGGGACATAACAGTGGTTTCTGAGCAGGGATCGGCGTGCCTGGCAGAGAAATGACAAGAGCGCTCCTGTGCGGGTTGGAGCACAGACTTCAGTTGTTTTGGGTATGATGGTGTGTGGCAGAGTGGTGACAAGCAATTGTGTGCACACTGAGGGTGGAAGCTCAAACACATCGAATCAGTCAACAAAGAAGTGCAAGTTCGCCCTCACATCTGCTCAAATACCAGCCGACTAGTTTGTTGGTAATGTAAGTCTCTGTCTGAGGGTTTTAAAAGTCCACCTTCCTCCATCTGATTGCTAATCTCCCCAACGGAAAGGAGGAACCGCAAGGAGGAGCAAGAGATAGTGACATAAATGAGGGAAAAGATAACCAAATAACCAAAAAGGAGGGCAAGGATGGACACTGCGTAAAGGAGAGTAGAGGAGTGTGACAAGGAGAAAGAAGGGGAGGAAGAGAACGAAGAGGAAGAAGGGGAGGACGAGAAAGAAGTGGGATCAAGAGGAAGAAGAGGGAGAGGAAGAGGAAGAAGAGAGAGGAAGAGGGAGGAAGAGGGAGGAAGCGGGAGGAAGAGGGAGGAAGAGGGAGAAGAGGAAAGAAGAGGGAAGAAGAGGGAGGAAGAGGGAGGAAGAGCCTCAGGGAGAAAGGAGGAAGAGGAGGAAGAGAAGAAGTAAGAGGAGGAAGATGAAGGAGAGGCGCTAAAGAAAAAAAATGAAGCAAAACGAGGGAGGGAGGAGGACAATGACGCTGAGAAAGGGCAAAGGAGGAGGCGGACGGAAAGAACGGAGAAGGAAAGGGGGAAGAAGATAGAAACTGGAGGGAGGAGGAGGTTGACTTGTAGAGCAGTTGAGAACAAGTGATGCCCTAGATACACTCTGGCTACGACAGCTTCAGAGGTCCCCATACCATCTGTGAGTGAGAATGTTTTTTTCTTCCTTGTCTTTTTTCTTCGGGTGGGGTGGGGTGGGGAGTTGGGGGGGGGTACATTGCCCCTTCTGGGGGACAGCAGTCCGGTATATACCGGCAAACATAGACTGAGACCAAAGAGTGAAAACAAGTGGCGACAAACAGGAAACAGAAGTAGGAGAGTTTCATAACTGCCACATTGCCACATTACAAGTGCACAGCTATCACATTGGTGCATCAAACGAGTGAGCCACTGACACACACACACACACACACACACAGATGCAGGAGCAGGGAAGGAGAACGGCAACCTCAGGAAGATGTCGTTGGAGAAGAAAGAATATGGTTTACCGTGATAGTGTTACGATCCTCATCATCAAAGAACAGCATTTCGGAATAAGGTATGCCAGTGTTTCTTGAAATCTTTTGAAAATGTTCCGTCTTGTTGGTCCAACTCGGATATATTTGCTGTACCACACACCCACACACTCACACACACGCACACAAACATACACAAACACACAAACCCACGCACACACACACACACACACACACACACACACACACACACAGAGGACTTAGTTTGACGTTAGCAGCAGGGAAATTCACCCATAGTCGCCACTGATAGTGGCTCCATAGGCAGACCTGGGCAGATCGCCTAGCACCCATGCATGCGTCCAAAGGACTTGGTTTGCCTGCCGTCTTCGATGCATGTCTTCCAGACTGCATGCAGATAAGATAAGAATGTCTACCTAAACAACGTCCATATACGACTGTAATGTGCCTGCCAGGTGAACGGTATTTGCCACGTGGCTGAATGCTACACACATGTAACCATGGATCAAAACAGATCAAGGGTTCGAATCCAGTAAGAGTTCAAATCCTGTTAGAGTTCGTATCTCGTAAGAGTTCAAATCCTGTAGGAGTTCGGATCCTCTTGTCAACGAGTACAAAACCAGGTGCCACAGACCCCCAAATAAATACCTCATCGCCACAGAGAAGTATACTTCACGACAAGAAGGAGAAGGATACTTTATGACAAGAAGGAGAAGGATATTTTATGACAGGAAGGAGAAGGATACTTTATGACAAGAAGAAATAATGTATTGAATTGATAAATTATTAATTCATACATATTCAACAATAAATGCCGTTTTCTTAATTAATACCCATCCAGGTTGATTCAACAACAAAAACATCAATTTTCGCTTTCCCATCAATACACCTTATCTCCTTTCTTTCACCTTTCTTACCTCTCAACACTTTTCTCTAAAAAAGGGGAAAAAAAAAACAAGAAGGATAAAACAGAAGAATGGAACAGCGTCAGCCTCACTACAAGAGACAACCCAGAAGCATTATCCAAATTCGAGTGTTTTTTTCCCCCAACTAATGGCCAGATCCCACTGGCAAAGAGGATTGGAATAAGTGGCTGAATCTGGTCGTGTTCCACACAGACATGCAGAAATGCAGATCAGTCACAATTTTATGGACATCGCCATGAACATATCCACATTCACACGCTTATTCCAATCCTGTTTGCCAGTGGGATCTGGCCCTAACTTGCACATTCGGAACTCATGCTCATTACGACCTGAACAAGAACTTTTAACAAAATGGAGGCAGCCCCTAGCATCATTACGTATTCATCCGAGTCCATCAGCATCGAAACTCCTAAGCTGTTCTGTAACAGTCACACTGGTATGCTATCTAATACTGCTATCGACTTCACCCAAATAAAGCGTACGGTCATTTACAGATGTATTAGGGGTATCTTTCAGTCCAAATAATACAGCATATGGTCATTTACAGATGTATTAGGGGTATCAGTAATAAATGACAGTACGTTGTATTCGGGTGAAGAAGTCACTTCTACAGGTATCTGCGGTCCCTAGCCTACCGGGTGCGAAAAAACAGACCGCCAGAACCACATCCTGCAGTACTAACTGCATCTGAGTCCAGTGGTCGGTATGACAAATAAATAAAAAACAAAAAAACAAATACACAAAAAAGGAGTCTCTTTTCTTTCTCATTCCACCCCCCCCCCCCCCCCCCCTCTCTCCCCGGACCCCCCCTTCTTTGGCTCACTCCCTCACGAGACCCCTCCCTTCCTCCTCTCGATATTCCCTGGCTCACCCCACCTCCCTCCATCCTACCTCACTCAAGGACCATCACCCTCGTCCCGAGCAACCTGACCAGACAGCTGTCGTGGGCACCAGCGCTGAATGGTAAACCCATTTCAGCCCCATGGTTTAGGAATGATATTCCATTTCAGCCCTGGTTTAGGAATGGTAACCCATTTCAGCCCTGGTTTAGGAATGGTAGCCCATTTCAGCCCCCGGTTTAGGAATGGTAACCCATTTGAGCCCTGGTTTAGGAATGGCAACCCACTTAAGCCCTGGTCTAGGCACTGTCGCATGAGCCTTGTCGCACGGGTTCCTCGGGAGCTACCGGCGGGCATGGATCTATTGCTACCAGCCCCGTGAGTAGAGATCTAAGAGTGCCAAAGAGTGCCCATCTCGACACAGCCTTCGTTTTTTTCTGAGTATATTAGATGAATATATGCTACAAAAAGACTTCCAAAAAAGCCAAAACTCTTATTCGAACTCGGGTCTGTAATTCAACAGTTCATGGGTGTACCACTTGGGCCCGGTCCCCTCGACGATGATATCTATAAAGGCCGTTGACCAACTGGCCTAGCTCAGTTGGTACACCTCTAACCTGTTGAAATACAGACCTGAGTTCGGACTCCAGTGAGAGCAGATGACTAATATACTATAATAATGAACTACCTAGGGGCGGTCAGCTCGATAATGATATCCAAAGGCCGTTGCCCTTCAAAAGAAGGGAAAATTTTTGATATGCCCCTGAAAGGGCAAGTTATTTACCGTGTGCCCCTCCAACGGCTGACTTACCCTGTCGTGCTCCTGGGACCTCTGAACTTTCCTGCAGGCCCCTGTCAGTGAGGGGTGCAACTTTCCAGCATGCCCGTGGCCGTTGGTGGCACTGGCGGCCATCCCCCTGGCCCTGGGAGGGGAGCTACAAGGGCATACTGGAAATTTGGAACCGGTACCAGTAGGGGCATATTGAACATGTTTCAGACCCAAACGACGCCAGGGGTTTTTCGGAAACTGCAATCTTTGTCAGAGGGGCATCACAGGGTAAGTTGGCCATCAGAGGGGAACGCCGCAAAGAAATTGAACTTTCCGGGGGCATATCGAAAATTTTCCCTTAAACCACCAGAGTACTTGGCCCAGCTAAATACAGTAGAAACAAGCTCAAGATCACTGTCCAAATTAGAGCTTTTTTTTTTGTTTTTGTTTTTTAACAACTTGCACAATGAAAAAAAAAAGAAGGTTCATTAAAAAAAAAAAAAAAAGAAGGAAAGAAAAAGGAAGGAAGAACCAGAAAGAGGGAAATAAAGGGGGGAAAAAGATTTGAGGATAACATGAGACACGTCACACCTACCATATCAGCAAAGAGCGGTGTCAGCTTCAGCTTGTCCAGGAAAACCCGTGCAATCTCGGGAGTCGGTGTTCTCGAAGCAACTGCCAGCTTTACTCCGGCGGCATGGAGCGCTTCCAGAATCCCTCTTGCGTCTGGATAAATATGTGGATGGACTCGGCTCGGAAGACATTCACTGATTAAAAATTTTGAAAAAAAAAAAGAGTCAATTTTTATTTTTCTCTTTATAAAAAGAAAAGGGTCATTTTCACGGATAGAGGGTAGAGAAGCACAATTCAATAACAGCGCGCCATTTTGGCAAACAGCAGTAAATCATCCCCCGACAGGTACAGGTTACGCGGTGACCACAAAAAAAAAAAAAAAAATCGCCATTTTGGCAAACAGCAGTAAATCATCCCCCGACAGGAACAGGTTACGGGGTGACCAAAAAAAAAATAAGGTTTCAGGGTGACAAAGAAAGGAGCGAAGCGAAGTTTAGAGGTTTGTTTATCGCGATAAAAAATAAAACCAGCGCTGAAGACCAAAGCTACGACAGAAGAAGAAGCAGGTGCAAAGCGGAGGAGGGCAGAACAGAAACGAGGAGCGAAAGAAGGGACGATAGAAAACGAAAGGGAGATGAGAACAAGGGAAAGAAAAGAACAAAAGAGGGGCAGAAAGGAAAAAGTGGAGGACGAACTGGAGGACAAAAGGCAAGAGGGAAGATAAGAGGAGAAGGAGAGGCAACGGAAGGAGAGGAAAGGAGAGGAAAGGAGAGGAAAGGAGAAGCAGAGAGGAGAGGAGGAGATGGGAAGAAGGGGAAAGGAGAGGAAAGGAGAAGCAGAGAGGAGAGGAGGAGATAGAAAGGAAGGGACAAAGAGGAGGGAAGAGAGGGAGAGAAGAAGGGGAAAGAGGAGAGGGAAGGAGAGGGAAGGAGAGGGAAGGAGAGGAAAGGAGCAGGAGGGAAAGGCATAGAGGGGAGGACAGCAGAGGAGAGGGGCGGAGAGAAGGGAGGAGAGGGGAGAGGAGAGGAGCAGACGATCGAAGGAGCAGAGGAGCAGAGGAGCAGAGGAGCGGACGATCGAAGGAGCAGAGGAGCAGAAAAGCACAGGAGCAGCACAAGTACATGACGGGATGACTAAGAAACAGCATAAGTACATGACGATTCGTCTGCTCACCAGGCTCCCACCCGACCGTCTTCCCCATCCCGAATAGAACGCATGGTCATAAAAGATGTACTGGAATGAAATTTCCGTCCAGATGCAAGCATAAAGTCCATGCCGAAATCCGCGCGGGTCTCCGATTCTCAGCTCTCAGTGCGTGCTCAACAACCGACGCTCCCCTTTGCGAACAGAACGCATGGTCATAATAGCTGTACTGGGGGCAAACTTCAGTCCAGATGCAGCTACAATGAACATGCCGTCAATTCGCGGCAAAACTGGAGCCGAAATCCACGTGGCTCTCGGATTGGCGTGCTCTAAGGTGCGTGCTCACCAACCGAGGCTGATCTAAGACCGCTAGCTAATTCAATGAATCCCGTCGTTATTTCCCTTCAGTAGTTGCTCGGTCGGATCGTTGATTTCGTCATCGCGTCACTCATTGATTGATTGATTAATTGATTGATTGATCGATTGATTGATGGATTATTTGATCGATTGATCGATTGATTGATGGATTCATGGATTGATTGATGGATGCCTTCATAAAGT